AAGCCTGTGGTGATGGGCCTGTGGTGATGGGCCTGTGGTGACCCATCCGGCCAGAACTCGACTTTTGGCTCCCCGCCGCTAGAGCTGTGGATATACACTGAGCAAAAACTAATCACTTTCTCCGCCAAAATTCACTCGCAAGCAAAATTTGAGCACGATTTCGAAACGCAAGCGCAAGACTTCTCTGACGTAAAACCACTGACTGTTGAGCAAACGCAATCCCTTTAAACAATGACATGGCTGCCTCAGCGAACAGACTGGAATGCGCGAACAATGTCGAAGGAAGAAACAGCCGAACGCCAGGCCCGGGCGGTTGGAGTTCTGAGAATTTCCCTGACCGGGCCCTTCGTCAGGTCGGCGCGCAACCCTTGAGAAGGAGGGTGGACAGTGGCGGGTAGGGTAAGAGAGGTTTTCTGCGTCACCGCTCGCAGCGGGGCGATCGACAACTGTATACAACTGCGCATGCGCGCTGCGCCGATCGAGCGGGACTGGCTGGGATGGGATGTTCCGTACAACGGTCAGCATTTTACTGTCAACTCGCTGTTAAATGAGGAGCTGCTATTTCGACACTCTCGCTGATGCTTTAGCAGATTATTTCTGCGAATTTAACGGCCTTCAAAACATTAGACCAATACCTGCACGAGTGTAAATTTAAAATCTAAACGAATGTCAAAATAACGAGTCAAAGGGAAAATTAATCCTTAAGTTAATCCTAACTTAATGAGATGGTAAAGATTAAGTAATCTTTAACTAATCAAAAAGCTCTAAGGAAAATAATAATGTCTACGTAATGATTACTTAATGACTAAATAAAGGTTACGAAACGTTTAAGTGTCGATTACGGCCCAAAAAGCACGAGGTTTTTAGATTAAGTATTTTAAACTTTACTGAACGATTACTTCAATATTAACAAATCACTAACTGATCACAGAGGTATAACGATAATAATAATGTTGAAGTGACGATTCCTTGATGAAATTAATGTAATGTTACGAAGTATGTGTTGTTGTTTTATGTTACATAAACACGGGGAATAAAGTCAGCGTACATTACCGAACCTGTCCGGTAGATCCCATTTTGGCGAGGAATACCAGGAAGTTATTCATCAAAACAATATTAGATTTCAAAGTTAAAAAGCGATAGCGGAAAATTTACCAAACTCAGATCGTAAAATAGGTAACAACTATTAAGAATTTATTAGGAAATAAGTATATTCTACATGATAAGTGTGATGAATGGAATCGGTGCAATAACAGGAAGGAATGAAGGACTGAACACGTAGGGTTTAGGTATGAATGAAAGACTGTATTGAACACCAAGAATAACTCGACAATACTCATATATTACACTGAATCAAAGCTAGATCATAAATCTACGCGTGCCTCCTTCTTGGCGGCCATGATGAGAACAACCCCCCGACTCGGTGGTCTACGAACACCAATACTCCTATCAGGAATTGGTGAATGCTGGACATGACATGCACCCTTCACTCAGAAAAAATATTTTGAGCTTGAGTACAAAGATATGAGGGAGGAAAGAACAAAATATTTTTGTGTTCACATCACAAATATTATAAATAAGTCGTATTATGTTTTTTTGAGATTGAGTACAAAGATATGAGGGAAGAAGGAACAAAATGTTTTTTGAGTTCACATTACAAATATTATAATTAAGTCGTATTATGTTTTTTTGAGATTGAGTACAAAGATATGAGGGAGGAAAGAACAAAATGTTTTTGTGTTCACGTAACAAGTATTATAAATAAGTCGTATTATGTTTTTTTAATGCCTATCGCAATTTTGGCAATTATGCCTTTAACAGCAGGGACCTTTTTATGGAATTTAACAAAAATTTCTTCGTTTTCGCTGTACATGTGAGTTAGAGTTGGGAAACCGAAGACGGTAGAAGCTGTGTCAACAAGGTTCTAGGGCGAAAGTTTAGAATAATCTCGTTGGGAGACTGAAATGTGACTGTAGTTGGGGTATTACGGTAATTGAAGAGAAAAATATTTATCGATGTTGAAAAATCTGCAGATGAATCATGACTTAATAACAATTTTTCTAAGCCATTCTTTGCAATTTGAACTCCTCCTTCCGCTAGTCCATTCGACTGAGGAGAATATGGCGGGGAATGAAGAATTCTTATATTAAATTTTGTACAAAATTGGGTATACTCTGCAGAGTCGAAAGGGGGTCCATTATCACTAACTAAAATTTTCGGAAGCCCTAAAATGGAAGCCACATTAGGAATTTCTTTTTCAACACCATTTGCTCTATAATTTACCATTTGAACTATTTGCATCCATTTAGAATAAGCATCACATAAGATAAAAATTTTAAATTTCTTTGTTCATAGAAGTCAATGTGTACTCTCTCCATCGGGAATTTGGCTGATGGCCAGGGTGTATGAACTTTTGTTGAATGGAAATTAACCTGAGCACAGGCAGAGCAATTATTACAAAGAGTTTCAATGTCCGTATTTATAGTTGGCCACCAGACTACCGATCTGGCCGACAATTTGGACCTAACAATACCAGGATGCCCTTCATGAAATACTCTCACTACCTGCCCCTGCAGTTTAGTTGGAATAATAACCCTTGTTGCAAATAAGAGACATTTATCTACTATGGCTATGGCATCTCTGACCTTGAAATATTTCTGAATAACAGGATTATTACGAAAATTGTCTTTCACTGGCCAGCCAACATGAGTATAATGGGATACTTTAGACAATACAACATCATCTTGCGTTGCTAAGGCAATAATTGAGGAATTAATAGGTAAATTAGGAGAAAGTTCTACATGAAATACTTCTTCTCTTTGGTTTGGAGCTGGAAGTCGAGAGAGAGCATTAGCCGTTGCCATGAATGCACTTTTACGATGAACGATTTCGAAGTTTTACGCCCGAAGTAGTACAGCCCAGTGCTGTAATCTTTGTCCCGTGCGTGTAGGTAGTCCTTTACCAGGGTTAAAGGTGCGCTGTATAGCTGAATTATCAGTGTAGAGTTTAAACGAACGTCCCCAGATAAACCGATGAAACTTGGTGACTGCGTACACCACTGAAAGACCTTCTCGATCATGCTGAGCGTAATTTTGTTGTGCTTGAGTTAGCGTAGAGGAAGCGTAAGCCACTGGCCGATCAATTGGCTTACCGTTTTCCATCTTCACTGTGTGGCTCAAAGTTGCGCCCACACCAACCGAACTTGCATCAGAATACACCACTAACGGTAAAGTTGGATCATAATGAATCAATAGAGAATTTGAAACTAGCGGTTCTTTGCATTCCTGAAACGCCGCTTCACATTCTGATGACCACTCAAAAACCGTATTTTTGCAACATGGATCTCTTAATGGACGCGCCTTTGTGCTGAATTGCGGTAAGAAATCTGAATAGAAACCTATCATACTGAGAAAGGATCGCACCTCTTTACCATTTGTCGGGACTCTGCAGTTAACGACTGCTGATGTTAGAGACGGAGCAGGGGATCGCCCTTCCTTAGAAATTATGAAACCTAGATGTTCGATTTGCGTGACACACCAATGAAATTTTGGCAAACTTAGTCGCACGTTGTGTCTGTCTAAACGTCCAAGAACTAAAAGGGTGCGGTGCACGCAATCCGCTGAGTTTTTCCCTTAAATAAAGATATTATCGATGAAACACTATGTGCCCGGAATGCCGAATAAAATTTGATCCATAACGCACTGGAATATTGGAGCGCCGCTGGCTACTCCATACATGAGCCTACTTGGCTTGCATAACCCACGATGGGTATTTAACACGCACAAATCTTGAGAGTCCAGATGCAACTTCAATTGCGTGTAAGCATCTTTTAAATCAAGACTAGTGGATATAACTCCTCCAGCCAAGTTAGCGAATAAATCATAGGGACGCGGTAAAGGATATTGATCAACCCGTAACTAAAGATTTAGGGTCCTCTTAAAATCGGTACACACTCGCACACCGTCGCTGTCCTTCTTTTCGACTGCCACTAACGGAGAAGCCCATTCGGCTTGTCGAATTCGCACTACTTTGCCAGATTTCTGCGCGTATATGC